TTATAAAATTCAATCCAATGGTGTATCTTCTTCAGTTACCATGAATCACACATACATACCACATAAGTAATAAATATAAATATATATATATATATATTTTTTTTTTTGCTCGAGAAAGGAAAAAAACTATTAACTAGAGTGACCATGGTCACAACCCGTACCAATACAATCAAATAAAAGAGCTTTTCTCGCCACAGGAGGCAAGGTTCCATCCCAAATATAAAAGTTGGCAACTTTAAATCCCATGCTAGTCGCTGCGTCCGTCACAAAGTTTGCCTCTCTAAAGACATGCTTCCTGTAAATAATTATATGTGAATCCCAATCTTACATTATAGTGCCTGGTAGTATGATGACAGAAATGCAATCCAATCCAATCCAATCCAACCTAATCCAATCCTATAGAAAAAACTTTCTTAGCAACCAAACAGAATGCAAGGCTACATACATACATACTTGGTTGTCCCAGGAGGTGGCGACCAGAATGTTGCTCTTGGGACTGAAGCTTAGGCTCGATATCGAGTCGTTAGGAGGATGGGTGACCTAAAATATCAAAAATTAAAATTGAAATTAAATTGAATAGAATAGAATAGAATTAAATTAAGTTAAGGAAGAAAATCAAAACAAAGCAAAATCGACGAATAACTGCAAGTTAATCGAATTCACCTCAAAGGACTTGTTCGGGTTCTGATTCTGATTCGAAGCAGCCATGAAATTCGACATTGGAGTAGCACTCAGAGAAATTCGCTTCTTCTCTACTTCGAAATTTCAAAAATAAATAAATAAAATACCCAGTATTTATCTGAGAAGTAAAACCTGAGAGAGAGAGAGAGAGAGAGAGAGAGAGAGAGAGAGAGAGAGTTACCTTAGCCGAAGGTCTGAGTGTGGTTTAGAAGTTTGAACGAAGAGGAAGAAGGAGACGAGTATGCATGGGAAACTTTTTTAAATGTCACGTGAATTTATAACTTATTTTAATTTGTAATATAAATATCAATTTCTTAAATCATTTTTCTGTCTAATCTCGTTAAGTTTTTCATTTATAATAAGTAATGTGTTTTGTATATGACTTGGTTTCAAGATTATTTTGAATTTTTTACTCTCCACACCCATTCAATATTATTTCGAATATTTCAACTCTTATCTTTATAATAACAGGATGGACCGTGATAAATTCTCAAAACTTACAATTAGTTAAATTCTATGTTTGATGTGATAGCAAATTTTAGTTACTCTTCGATTTGACGAAATTGTATTTACAAAACAAAGTAACACATTTGGTTACAGTCATAGCCACACGCCCAATGAGTGGGTTTGGTCAATGAACATCAAATGCTTAAGTTAGTTTTTCGGAAAATAGAGATTTTACGATTGAGTTGTGTAGAGTTAACTTCAACTTACTTGAGAAGTGTGTGAATGGGGTATTTATAGGGAGCATGGCTAGCTACCCGGAGAACAATTATTTCTTAAACAAGAAAGAGATAAAAGAGTTCTTCCCCCAATTTTCTACTTTGCTTGCCCTGCGAAGGGGTGTTCATCTTCTTTGTCCTTGCTGTTGCCGCACCTCCAAGGTAAGAAAATTTCTTCTTTTTTTTTTAATAGGAAAATTAACGAAAATTTCTTAAAAATTTTAGTTTTAATAAAAATGACAAAATAAATGTGTGAGTAAATAGTACCAGAAGTGAATTTTTAAGGTAAAAATGTCATTTTCGTTAAAAGACTCAGCTAGGGTTGATGGGCTGGCCCGTCTGTTAAGTTTGTTGGGCTACTACGTTAGGCTGTGCCTAAAGCGTTGGGCTTGGGGTGCTGCCTTTCCCTATTTTTCTTCTCTTTTTTTTTTTTCTCGAATATTTGTCGGTATTCCTATGTAGGACTTTTTTAGAATGTCCTCATCCGAGCGTAACAATGATGAAGATTCCCCACCTAAGTATCGTCAAGGTGGGTCCTCTGGAAGACTTGGATACTTCAAAGCTGCTCATGCCAAGATTGATTTTGATGAGTTGTTTTTGGATTTTCTTGAGGAATTTAGGCATGCAATCTCATCGGGAATTCGTGTTAGGCGCATGAAGGATAGAAGTAACCATGAACCATGCACTAAAGTCGCTTATGCAAGTGAAAAAAACAATACTAAACGAAGCCTAACACTATTTTTGCAAAGACAAAAGACAGCTACTAAATCAAAATAAGCTTTTTAACAAAATTCTTTTGTCATTTACCCAAACACAGAGAATCTTTCCCTTCCTTGCTTCTCTTGATTTGTCGTGCTAATTCGGTCCACTTTTGGTAGTCAAACGGGCCGGATTGAAGCTGTGAATAATTCGCCCAAGGGTACATGATGACACCTAAAATAAGGGGAGTCTTTGTCCACTTTCACGTCAAACGTGTAACATGGGCCACAAAATATTGAGACATAGTAAACTGGTCCGAACTTCATCTTCGTGCCGTAAAATTCAAAAGAATGTGCAACCATAAATGGTTGACACAAATTGGTTGATATCCACTATGATAGAGATTTTTTATTGTGTTGGAAATATGATCCGGTACATCAAACATAAAATACAATTGGTTATGAATTGATAGATTTTTTTTTAACCAATTGTATCATAACATTTGATGTACCAGACCGTATTACCGGAAAATTAAAATAATTTCTCACGACATGAATTCAAATTCACATGCTTGCTCTTCAAGTTTAAGTATTGCAAATTTGCAATGTAGGCAAGGTTCTAAAAGTCGCTAGGCGCTAGTCGGGGGGCGGGCGGGGCCTAGGCGGGCGCCTAGGCGGATTTAAGTAAATCTATCATATTTCAGGTAAATAAGTGTATGCTTCTACTTGAAATATATATAATTTCATCATAAACTACAAAATAGAATGCATATATATCATGAAGTATTGGAACATAATGAAAACATGTGAAATAAGGATATAATGTTTGTTCATTCAAGTATGCAACAAGTCTCTTACAATTTATTGGGAAAAAAAACAAAATGCAAAATGAAAGTTATGTATTTTCTGTCTAAGTGAGTTGCAACCTAGGCGGGTGCCTAGGTGGTCTAGGCGGTGGGCTGGGGCCTAGGCATTAATCGGGGCGGTGGGCTGGGGCCTAGCGCCTAGGCGGCGCTAGGCGGGGCCTAGGCAGCGCTAGACGGGGATTTTTAGAACAGTGAATGTAGGAGGAGGACCAATTTATAATTAAAACAGTAAGTTGTTATTAACACTTCTAAAAAGCCACTATGCAGTCCTCTCAGGTGTCACTTATCTCCTAGTTTTCTTAATGGAAAAAGTGCAGGTTGACTATTACGAAGAGTGAATAATAGCACCTTAGATTAATGAAATTTTTAGAATTCTTTTTGTAGTTGACGCTACTTAGTCTAAAATAATACACATATCAACTCGGTCCTTGCTAAACGTTTGTCCCCATGTTGATTGTATTTCATTAATTTTTAGTTGTTTGGCTGGTACGAAAATTTCGTTACTACTTCAAATCCTTCCTTTCATACACTTCATTTTCAATGCATTTAGTTGTGGAAATTTTGTAACTTTATTGCAGTAGACTTGGCACAAAGGGAGACTTGACCTAACGGAAGATTTAGCACAAAATCGAACGCAATGGTGTTCTAAGATTTAGAGGTGGTTTGAGAGTGAGGTACTTAAAAAAAAGCACCCATGAAAAAAAGATGTGAGAGTTTTAGGTGTTTAGTAAACTGAAAAAAAAAAAAGACTTATTTTGGAAGCTGTTGTGAGAATAAGCTGAAATCAAAGGAAAAAGCTGAAGCTACTATTTGCAGCTTTGGAAAACTGGTTTTTTTTTTAAAGCACACGGAGCTACAGTGCTCCTTTAATGAAAAGACCCACTATCAGACTGCTTTTTTTTTTTTTCCAAAAGCACTTTTACAAAAAAGTTTATCAAACACTCTGCTGATTTATTTCACAACCGCTTATTCTCACAGTACAACCACTTATTCTCACAACAGTTTTTTTTCAAAGCACAGCAATACCAAACCAGCCCTTATACAGTCGACTCATTTCGTGGCATAAAGCTTTATTGTTGTCGTTGCAGATGTATTCACTTCAACGGAGGATATCGTTTTCCTTGATTGGGAGTTTTCATTTTCTTATTGTTCTTCATCTTCTCTTGCATAAAAAGACGATTCAACATATAAACATCAAGGAGAAGAGGTCAAGTGCAGTTTCCCAGCATTTCACAGGTGGTCAATACGTCACTGTAGAAAAATGTGGAACAAGTGGAAATTAGGTGGTGGTGTGGAAAATAGATTTTTCCATTGTACTTATACTTAAAATAAATAATAACATATAAATGTATACTGATACTTAAAATAAACAAATAAGTGTACTGAGATACATAATACAAAAATAGAATGACATATAAAGTACAAAGTACTTAAACATATTGAAAATATGGAGAACAAATATATAATGAGTGTTTATAAAAGTATTTAACAAGTCTATTACCATTTATTAAAAACATAAAATGCAGGTCTAGGTGGGTTTAGGTGGGCGTCTAGCTAGGTGCCCTTTCTTATTTTTTAAATGCCTAGAAATAATCATGGAGGAGGCTAGCCGCCTAAGCGGGGCCTAGACAGCGTTAGACGGAAACTTTTAGCCTAGGCACCTTTTCTTATTTTTAAACGCTTAGAAATTAATCACGGCAGAGGCTAGTTCCTTAAGCGGGGTTTAGATGGCGTTAGGCCGAGATTTTTAGCCTAGGCGCCCTTTCTTATTTTTTAAACACCTAGAAATTAATCATGACGAAGACTAGCCGCCTAAGCAAGGCCTAGACGACGTTAGGCCAAGACTTTTAGACTAGGCACCCTTTCTTATTTTTTAAACGTCTAGAAATTAATCATGACGGAAGCTAGCCGCCTAAACGGGACCTAGACGGCGTTAGGGCTGAGACTTTTATAACCGAGTCCTATAGATATAGATTATATATATCTCTCTCATACTACAAGTCTCAACTCACAAAAAGAATTTGAGACGAAGTTTGTGATTGAAGCAATCAATAATCCAAATCCAAATGTACAAGTTTCCTACAAGTTTTTCATCAATGTCCCATGCCATGACATTGCAGCCTGTGATGATAATTCAGGCCTTCAGGTACTACTCTAAAATGCCTTTCAAAATTGTAAACTACCTCACTGGTTCACTGCCCTTTCAGTTCTACCTGTCACTCCATTTTCTGCAAACAACAAGCACAAACCCTAAGCCCTGCATTCACAAATTAATAATCATGCTCCATTGCACTTGGTTTGCTATTCTGTAACCTTTCTTTTGTTTGTCATTCACGCAGCTTCAAGAACGAAAAGGACCGATTGTTTGGTATGAACGTTACTATTTCTCCTCTACGTGATTATCCATTCCTTCCACACACACACACACTGCGTATCATAATTTTTTAATCTTTGAATCTGCAACCTTATGAGACCAAAGAATTAAGAAACTGATCACGAATATGATTCTTCCAACTGTAAAAATCAGGTTATCGTACGAAGGTAGCTCGCAATGCAAACATGGAGAAATTGCGGAATGGCTACCTGTTTCCTGAGGTGAGTTCATTCTTCGTTTGGCAATTGGATTAGTCTCCTGAATACACTATTCAGAAACTCATGCTAACAATATATATATATATATATGTGTGTGTGTGTGTGTGTGTGTGTGTGTGTAAATTCAGATTTCAAGGCTGGAGCTTGAACACATTGAGAAGTACCCGAATGCAAAGTTGATAAGCCTCGGAATCGGCGACACAACAGAACCAGTACCAGAAATCATCGCATCAAGCATGGCTAATGTTAGTAAATTTAACTGAATCAATGAATATATTGCACTAACTACTTTTAAAAGCATACGGTTTACAGAAGAAGAGGGAATAAGAAAAGAAAAGATTTGGGGGGACCTAACTACTTTTAAAAGCATACAGTTTAATTACAGAAGAAGGGGAATAAGAAAAGAAAATAATTTTTTTTTTTGGGGGGAGGGGGGGGGTGGGGGACTTTGTTTTCAATGTGGTTTTTCAGCCAAAATGATCCGTGAGATTTGCATAACACATAACTTTGGTCCTTAAGATTGAAAATCAATAAAAGTGGTCTCTGAGATTGTTGACCATCCATTATTTTGGTCATTCCATTAAAAAATCCCTTTAAGTGGTCCCTGAGCTTTTTAACGGAATGACCAAAATGATGGATGGTGGACAATCTCAGGGACCAAAGTTATGTGTTATGCAAATCTCATGGACCATTTTGGCTAAAAATACCCTCAACTTAACGGAATTTTTTAACGGAAGAACCAAAATAATAGATGGTGGACAATCTCAGGGACCACTTCTATTGATTTTCAATCTCATGAGACCAAAGTTATGTGTTATGTAAATCTCAATGACCATTTTGACTAAAAAACCATGTGTTAATAATGTTTAGAGAATTTTGGTGTTTTGCAGTATGCACATGCCCTTTCGACCGCTGACGGTTATTCAGGGTACGGACCTGAACAAGGCAATAAGGTACCATAGTAATGCATGATTCTCTCCCGAATGTCATTTTTCATGAGTGGGCGGTTGAGTTTTAATTAAATCTTATTAAGTTAAATTTCTTTTAACATTTATTATGTGATTCATGCATCAGTGTTTAAAATATTGGTATTGATGAAAATATCGATATGCAAGTTTGTGGAAATATCTATAGATGTATTGATACCGGTTGCTTTCGATGGAAATGATAAAATTTTTGCTCAAAAATGGAAAAATTTAAAATGGAACTCTAGGATATGGGAGTTTGCCGATATTTAACCAATATATCAGAAATATTGACGAAATCAAACGATTTTAGTTGAAATTTAAGAGTTTCTCCAGGTCAATGAAATATGTCGATTTTTCAATATTTCTTTGGAAATGTCGACTGCATCAAAGAAATTTCAAACATTGTCGTGCATTCATTTTTTTTCTTTTGCTTTGCTTCCCCGAGCTTGTTATCTTGTCGGATTATGAACTTCAAGTGTGTTCCACGTTCGTAGTCAGCTGAACACAAGTCTAGCAAGAAAGCATTACTTCTCTTTCTCTCCCTCCATATATATGTTGGTGTGTGTGTGCGCGCTCGTGTCCGTGCGCTTGCTAAGTACCTAAACTTGTTTATATGTCTACATATAGGCATTGCGGGAGGCAATTGTAAAAGCATTCTATAAAGATCTGCAGATAAAAGACACAGAAGTTTTCGTATCAGATGGTGCGCAGTGTGACATTACTCGGCTTCAGGTACTCAATTACCGTTTTAGTTTGGCGGATGCTCGTTATCTTAACACGTGCAACGCTAGAAGCAAGGGTATTCCGGTAACACAGATTTATGATTTTCTTATGTACTTACAGTTGTTGCTGGGCTCCAGAGTGACCATAGCTGTGCAGGATCCATCATTTCCGGTACGTTGCTATGTTACTCAATCTTGTTCCAAACGAACAAATGCTTAATTGAATTATTCCGAATAACTGATGATTGGTATCTGATCCGATACATTGCGCTGGCAGGCTTACATCGACTCAAGTGTGATTATCGGTCAAGCTGGAGACGAAGGTGGGAGTGGAAGGTATGGGAGCATTGAGTACATGAAGTGTGGACCAGAAAATAACTTCTTTCCGGACTTGGCAACCACTTCAAGAACAGATGTTATCTTCTTCTGCTCTCCAAACAACCCCACTGGTCATGCAGCAACTAGGGAGCAATTAGAGCTTCTTGTCAAGTTTGCCAGGGACAATGGATCCATTATCATCTTCGACTCTGCTTATTCGTCTTATGTACAAGACGATAACTGCCCTCGTTCCATCTTTGAAATTCCCGGCTCTAGACAGGTTGCGATCGAAATATCATCATTCTCCAAGTTTGCTGGCTTCACTGGTGTCCGTCTAGGCTGGACAGTTGTGCCTGACGAGCTCTTATACTTGAATGGATTTCCTGTTATACATGACTTCAATCGCATTGTCAGCACTTGCTTCAATGGGGCGTCCAATGTTGCTCAAGCTGGTGGACTCGCCTGTCTTTCCTCGCAAGGCTTCAAGGTAAACCTTTTATACATCAAATAAATAACTTCCAAACAAGTTACATTGACTACAAAATTACAAATTCACATTTTGCGGTTTCAGGCTGTGAATTCCCTGGTTGACTACTACATGGAGAATGCAAATATACTGGGTGAGGCATTGTCTTCTGTTGGTTTACAAGTATTCGGCGGTGCAAATGCTCCCTACATTTGGGTGCACTTTCCAGGCTCAAATTCTTGGGATGTATGCAAAGACATTCTTGAGAAAACACACATAATTACAGTTCCGGGATCTGGATTTGGTCCGTCGGGTGAAGAGTTCCTGAGAATTAGTGCTTTTGGCCACCGAGAGTGTATACTAGAGGCCGCAGCTAGGCTTAAAACCCTATTTCTATAGGAATAAGGAACACCCTACTTCTCACTTCATCTATTCACAATCAGCATACACGACATCATTGGGATGGATTGGCCCGCTAAATGTTATACTTTACAACTTAGAGGCTTCATTTTATGAGAGGGAATAATTACTAAACCAATAATAATTTGTGGCACGGGGTAAAAATTTGTACGAGAATATGAGATTTCTTATATTTTCTACCTAGTATTAAAGTTATATATGTCTTTGAGAGTGTATGTGGGTTTTTCTAAATATTAAGTCGCTTGGCTACACTTACCCTTGAATTAAACAGTCTTGTCACAGAAGTAGAGTAATCTCAAAGGAAAGAGGCAATTGGCTAAGCAAAACTTTGCCATAAACATTCACTACCTACTTTCGTACAAAAGAAACTGACATGATTAACCCAAACCACATACACTGTTTCTCTAAGAAAATGTTACGAAGATTTGCTGACATATTTATCTCACTTGCACCATTTAACTACTAGCCACATCGCTTCAACTCACTATATATGCCAGGGGCTGAACGTCTGCGCCTCAAAATAAAGGAATTCTTAAAGAAATCTACAATCTATGTCAGTAGAAATGCACCAACAATCCGATGCACGGCTATCAAGATAAAAGAAATGCTAAAACTGTGTTCTTAATGTAGCATAGAGATAATTGAGCTAACTGCAGATCTGGGAAAATTAATTCAAAACAAATTCATCAAACGGGAAAGAAAATAGCTTGAGACACAGGTCTTATATACAATATATCCTGAACCTCTATAATTTTGCTTCTTTTAAACACAACGGTCAATATAGAATGATTATATCCAGTAAAGAGCTATCACAATGCACTGATAAAAGTTTCAAACTTTGACAGAAAAAAAGGGTAAGATAATTAATAGCAATCACATCAACCGAAACTTTTTTCAAGTTTTGAGCTATACTCAAAATCTTAAGGGAATGCAAAACATCAAACATCAAGGACTAGACAGCTAACCAGTTCAGCAGCCCGTGCACTCCTTGTGGCAATTACTTTCCAAGGATCTCGTTCTGATTCTGCTGGTCGTTCAACATCTTCATGGGGGTCATTGCGAGATGAGGATGAAGCTACTGAGATCGATGCAAAATGGTCCGGCACAGAAGCCTGCAGAACAGCAATGTTGTTATTTGCATCCCTTGTGATCACATGAAGCTTCCCCAGCAAACCAGCAAGCAAATAGGGAGACTCTGATTCAGTGAAGTCACGAATTGGAACATCTTCTGCAACAACTTTCCAGGCATCAGCTTGGTAATCGTATACCTTGATCTTTGCACTGTCAAGAGAACTAGAAGGATCCAATGCATACAATTCGCCATCAACTGTGACACTCATTTTTGTCCCTGCCTGCCTTGCAGGCCAACCCTCTCCCATGCCAGTTGGCATTTCAACCCATGAATTTGCCTCTGGATCATAAACCTCTCCTCCAACGTCAACAAAAAATGGCCAGCAGTACAAACTCTGTGGAACGAACAACCTTCCCCTGTATGAAGTCATTCCGGTTGCAATAGGCTTCAGCAGGTCAGCCAAAAATGCAGTTGGTAACACCTGAGCTTTCGTAAAAGGCATGCTTGGTAATTGGGACCACACACCTGTTTTTGGATCAAATACTTCAGCTGATTGAAGAGGGGTCAATCCACCGTGACCCCTTGTAACACCTCCAACAACATAAAGCTTATCGTTTAAGATGCCGGTCTTACAATAAGCTCTACCAATAGACATTGGACTTGATTCACTCCAAGTATTTTTAACTGGATTGTACCGCCATGTGCATCTCAAAGCCGAAGCCCTTGAAAATCCCCCTAGCACATAGAGGCAGCCATCAATAGCCCCAATAGAGCAACCACAAAAAGGCATTCGATCCAGTGAATCCTTCCTCCCAAGCCAACCCATGATGACATCTGCAATTCTGACACTAGAGCCTGCCATGTTCCACATTCTCTGGCCAGTTAAACCCTTCCTAGATTCTTCTTCCGGAGTAACATTAGGCATAGATGGCAACCTTTGCCATTTTCTGGCCAGAGGATCCAGAGCACACCATACGAGCTTATCACTTTGGACCTTTGTTAACATGTAGAGCCATTCCTCCGTTGTTCCTAGTTCTTTTCTCAAAGAAAAAAGTTCAGGACTCGTAATGGTGGCTTTCCAGGTCCGTGAAACAGACTTGAGCTTCAAATAGTGGATCCTAGGAATTCTGGCAAGAATCTGAATAGATATCTCGTCAGGAATGCAGGGAATCAATCTTGGGTTTTCGTCATAAAAGCTTGGAGACAACTTCATCCTCTTGCATGATGCACTCAGCAAATCTTGAGAAGGTCACTGACCCTAGTCCTGGAATGATTCAAGCTCAATATAGCCCCCATTGGGTATATCTTCCTTCAAACTCTTCAATCACAGTTGTAACATCCTATATATATACAACTACAGAACACCGAATAAATACATCAACAACAACAAAGCCTTAGCCAACTAAGTGAGGTCGGCTGTATGAATCCTAGAACGCCAAATAAACTTTGGCATGAGAAATCGAGAATCAATACCGAACGCCAATTATCATAAGTGACAGAATGCAATGCAGATCAAATGAAAACTGAAAACTCTAAAGTTATCATAAGTCCACTAAATTGGTACCTTGAATTCAAGACACCAAAATATAATAACTGCTGCCATCCTTCATCCGCCATACAGGTTAACTCAATGGATTTAAGATATAATTCAGATAACAATGGTTGCTAAGATATTCATGCCGAAAAATGGTTCATAAGATCAAATTATCAACTGAAATGGGTGCCATTAAGGAAATACGAACGAAACATCCAAATAAAAGAGTCCAGAATTCACAAAACAAATTCACTATCTTATTTGTTTGCCTCAATTTTTCTCGGCCACCAACTAACAAACAAATTTGATGCAATTGGAATCAAAATTCAACCATTCTACACAATTCAACAACACAATTGGAAGCAAAATTAAAAAATAAATCAAATAAATAAATTAAAAGGAGAAAGGGAATCGAGAGCGTTGGATCACCTGGGAAATGGAATCTGGGTGCTCTCCAATCCAAGCTTAATAGTGAGCTGAAGCAAAAGTCGTTGAAATCCCTCAGTTTCTTCTCCTCTTCTAATTGCTTTGTTTGTCTCTTTGTTTGCGTTGCGTGCGCTACCAAAGTCGTCCGATTCCCTGCAACGCAGTCCACGTCGTAACTTATGCCTCCGACTTCATTCGTCTTGCTACTTGTTAGGAAATAATCTGCTAATAAAAGACATTCGCATATTCACTCTTAATCCATATCTTTATCGTAAAACTTTCATAATCAAAACCGTTTAATCTTTTAATCTTCGTTTCTAGATCATTTGTACAAAACATCATTTGAAACAGTTTAATTGTGTAAATATATAAAATAAATCAACGGTACATTATGAATACACTACTTGGTATCTACACCGTCGATTTATTTGGATGACTAAAAGTTATCATATTCGAATGGTTTTTTTTTGTAAGGATAGATCTTTAAATGAAGATTAAGAGTTAAACGGTTCCAATGATCAAACTTCTACAATGAAGAATGAGTTCATCCCCTAAGAGGTGAATGCTACTATTATCCAAATTTATGTACACAAAGCAGTTGTTATTAGTACTCTAAAAATGTTATCATGCAATCATCTATTCATTTTTTGTGTTTTTTTTTATAAATTGAAATGTTAGAGACACTCTATAAAATAGTCTAATGAGCTTGTGAAAATCTCTTACAACTTAAGTGATAAAGGGGAAGATATTGATAAATTTTTAGGTTTTTCATGATCCATCACTTACATCACCGACATTGTCACCAACTTAATAACCACAATATAATTTATGTATATAACAAAGTTGGAAAATGAAAAAAATAAAATCATGTACAGCACGACCACCTTTCAATAGTTATCCTAGTTGTTCCCCAACCATCATTGTTACAATCCTCACTACCAGAGTCACCATATCTCCTTCACCCCACACCATTGCTACCACCTCCCACCACCATCTCAACCTTGTCGCCATTTCCACCACCATGGCCACCACCACCTCCACCATCTTCTCTATCACTCACCGATCTAAACCCTTTTTATTGTTATTTAGTTATTTAATCGCTTAGTTCACTTGTGAACTAGTGTTGTAACTAGGTTTTCATTGAAATATCTAATCTTATGTGCATGAGTTCTAGTTAACCCTGTGTATTTGTTTTACCACAACTTCCTTTCATCACCTATCATTCATACGTGTATCTTTGCCATCATCACTCAAATCATCTCCCTAGCACCCTTCCATCACCACCACGCCCTTTCCCCCTCCCCATCCCCTCTCCCCCACGCCACCATCTTCGCAACCATCACTCCAACCACCATTAATTGCTCCCTCTCTCCCAAACTGATGTAACCAAAAACCCCACCAACCAGTGTCACCACTACCCACAACCACCACCCCCTCTCCCCCGACCACGTCTATGCTAAAATTTATATTACAAAAAAGGTTACAACCAACCACTACTATAGATTTACTGTACATGAAACGTAAAACATGTATCATCTTTATAGAGGTCAGAGTGAATGGGTGTGGAACATAGAGAGAGAAGAGAGAGATGTGTAATTGTGAGGTGTGTGTTAT